ATAGAAATAAATGATGAAATTTGAGTTTATTTTAATTTTCTACGCTATATTCTGTTGAATATATTACAAGTAAATTATTTTTGGTATGATTTTTTTTAAAGTTGAGGGTGTGAAGGTAAAATAAGGGAGAATTAGCCGTTTCAAAAATACGAGACATTGAGGCCCTACTACAACCTTTATTTGGGAGTAAGAGCCAAAAATTGGTTCAAAAATTCTCTACAGGATGGGCCACATAAAATTAGAAAATTTTTGTGACAGTTCGTAAGTCTCCCTTGTTAGATAGCCAAATTAAAAAAACCGATTCCGAATTTAGAAATCTCAGGAGTGATGTTGAAAGGGTTGTTTAAGGGAACTTCTAAACCTCTTTTCTTCAATAGGGCAATGTATTATCCAAAACCAAGTGGCCGTAGTTTCCAAAATCAGTCGGGGTGACTGTTCGTAGATTGAAATATCCCTTTATTTCCGTCCCATGCCTTTTAGGGAAAAAGGGGAAGTCAAAACATCGTTAGGATTAAGCAAGTGTGAAGATAACTTTTAGATTTGAATATTCCCCCCACCCTTTTATCGGCTAATTATTAGAGAGAAATTGAAATAATAATTACTCAAATATTCAAAAAAATATTTTAAATAAAAACAAATTTAAAAATTAAATTTTAATTTAAACTACAAAACACATTCTCGTGAAAAAAATTTTAAATAAAAAAAAATAGCGTCTGAAAATAGAGGGGGTAAAAATAAGGAGACGTAAAAGAAATTTTTGGCTGGGCATATTAGACGAGGTGGGGGGGGGGGATATGGGAGGGAGAGGGGGGAGGGAGATTTTTATAGAGATTTTATATAGAGAAAGCAATTTTCTGAAGGGGATACATAAATTGACTTATAGAGAGAATCTATAAAAAAATTTTTTTTGGCAGCCTTCCATTAATAAACAACTCTTGTCTAGTCTAGACATTCAGTCATAGAGGAAGGGTTGTCGAGAGGAAAATTTTGGCTGCCCTCTCCCTTTTAATTCTCCCTTTTAAGGAGAATTTAAAAAAGCTTCTCCCTCCCTTTTAATTTTCCTTAAATTTTAATTTGTCGGAAATTTTAAAAAATTGTCGTAAATCGGAATCCCGAACTACCTGTGTATAATTCTTATTAACTTCTAAAAATTTCCCGTTAAATTACCCAAAAATTCAACAATGTTTATTATATTTAAATTAATTTTGTTAATTTTGTTTATTCTTAAATTTGCAACATTTTATTTGGATGCAACAGAAAATGTAGATAAGGTTTGTAGAAAAAATGTGTAAGAGTTGTTCATAATCTGGTTATAAAGGTCACATATTTTAGAAGTGTTAACTGTTAAGTCCGTAGGTTGTCCAAAATTTGTTAAAGTCGACAAGCACAAGAATAAATTTTATCCAAGTAAAAAGTTACAATGTAAGTAAAGGTGGATTGAAGCTGGAATAGAAGAAGGAGATCAGGGACTAGCTTGGATAGTATGTTTCGAGCAGACTGTCGCTGACTTTAATACTATAGTGACATTATATTTGAATTTTGGCTGCCCTTTCCCTTTTAATTTTCCCTTTAAGGAGAATTAAAAAAAACAACTCTTGTCTAGTCTAGACATTCATTCATAGAGGAAGGTCGACTGGAAATGATTAAGGTGCTGGAAAACGGAACTGTCGGAAATCTGAAATGGCTCAAAAGTCGGAAATCGGAATTCCGATCCAGAACCGGAACCTTACAGGCAAACCGGTGCCAAAAAAATCCCGGAACTTCCGGCCTACCGGAACCGGAACTTCCGGCTGACACGCACCCGGGCTAGTAAAAGGCTTCGCCTTCTATATTAACTCATCCCACCCTAACAGAGCATTTAAAGATTTTTAAAATATAAATTTACACAATTAAAATTTCCAGTTAAATATATTTCTTCAAGAAATACTTTTAATTGAAGGAAAAACAAAAGAAATTCAAAAAGAAATAGAAAGAATGGATAAGAGTATTGATAAAGTTATTGAGCATGTATCTGAATACATTATTAGTTGTAAGGGATTGAAATTTGAAAAAATTAAAGATAAGAAGGAAGAAAATAAAAGTAAAATACTTGCTCGAGTAAGTTTTTTAAATTGAACATTGAAAAAATTTATTAGAAATTTGGGGGCAGATTGGGGGAAAATTGAAAGAATAATTGAAAACTAATTTTTAGTATTTTATCTAATTAAAAATAAAAAATTCCAGAGCAATTTTCTGTGTTTTTTGGTGATGGTAGATACTAAAAAAAAGACTTCCAACACTCTTGGTCTTGAGTCTTGGTTCAAAACTTTTCTTGGGGTTTTCCCGGTCTTGATCTTGGTCTTGGGGTCTAGTTTTGGTCTTGGGTTCTAGTTTTGATCTTGAGTCTTGGAAAACTTTCGGTCTTGGAAGTCTCTAGTAGATAAACATTTGGGGATTGATGAACTTAATAATTATTTTGGAGTTTTTTAAAAAATATCTAGTAAATTCAAACTTTATACCAGTTTTTGTCATCTACATAATTGAAAAAGTAGATATACAGGAATACCTTATATGATCGGATAATCGTCCTTGTTCAGATATTTGCCTCCTCTCTATTAATAACTCAGTATAGTGTGAGGTTAGAACTAGAGATAGGACCGTCCCTTACTACCAACGATATTCCTCTAGCAAAGCAGCTAAACTATAGCTATTTCTCTCCTCTAGTTGGTGCACTAGGTTAATCGGCGGCTGGTTGCGAACCAGCATCTTCAGTAGACCGGACTGTTGTGCTAGTCATTAACCACGCCGCTTACTGCACAGCCTTAGGAATTAAATAGCTATACGCTTTACACTCTGTATTCATCGGTATTCCGTATTTTTCGGTGTTAAGATACGGAATACGGTACGGAACCAAATTCCTATCTCTAGTTGCTTAATTATTTTTTCACCAAAACAAATTTTTCAAATTTTAGAAGAAACTAGCTAAACTCATAGCACAAAGTGTGCCAAATTATCGAGTTAATCTAAACCAAATTTCAAATAAAAATGATGAATGTCCAATATGTTTAGAAGACTTTTTTAAAAAAGATGAAACAACCCCTGTAATAGTAAAAATTGGATGTGAACATGTATTCCACGAAGAATGTTTATTAAATAATGTTAAATGTTTTGGAGACAATATTAAAGAAAATCAGCATTTTACATGTCCAACATGTCGAAAGTTGATTAAAAAACCCAAAATTTTAAAGGGAAAAAATTTTTTAGAGAAAAATGAACAAGTTAATGGGCAAAACTTTGAAATTGCAATTAAACCAAATTTAGTAAATTTTTTGGTTTATTTTAGTAAAGATCAGGGCTGGAAGGCCCGGTTCGAAAGATCGAACCGGGTCTCGAATTCTGGCCCAAAAAAGACTAAAACGGCCTGATAAAAATGAGACATGAAAAGAGCCTCCCATCCTCCCTCCGAGAGGCCCCCTGATAAATCAATGAACGCCGCCCTGTTTGAAAAATCCAACCCTAGTAAAGATGGACTGGGTCCAAATTAAACGTTTTTTGATACTTACACTTGTCATTATCCATTTTTCCGATCCGAGCCCTGATTTAAATTAAGCATAATTGCATATCGGTGCATATAATCCGTGCTTATTTTGCTCAATCCTAATAATATGTAGATATGTTAATTAGAGGGGCCTACTCCAATCAAGAGAGGTGTTGATGCGTGCAACAAATAGATTTCCAGAGATAACACAAGTGGAGTAAATGATATTGGTTAATCACTTGGCCATGCTTAAAGCCGACCGAACACTAGGTCATTGCTTGATTAATAACTAGCTGGAATAAACACCAACTAATCTGCTTTCCCTATTTTCCATCGGCTTAAATGCACCTTCTCTCTTGACGTTGGTTTTACTATGTAGTTTCTCAAGTATTATATAAGCCTTACAATAATAAGTATAAATTGTAATAATGTTACTGATGGAGCTAAGTAATTTTGTTTACATTTTAAGGGTGAAATAGCCAATCGTCTAATGATTACTCACAGACGGATTACATTTGAATCCATATTACAAATATCCGACAAAAAATGCCCTCATTGTAATGAATTATTGGAAAATGTATATAAACCGATAACAAAACTTTATTGTGGACATGTTTTCCATATAAAGTGTTTAAATGAGTGGATTGGAGGAATAAAAAAAGGAGAAACGAGATACTTGAAATGTCCTATCAAAGAATGTCAAGCACCTATAATGTGTAGAGAATTGGGTGTTAAAATTGAGGAACATAACGATGACAATTGTGATAGTCATAATGGACCATGATAGATTTTTAATGAATTTTAGATTGTTAAATGTACATATATATGATTTTAAAGTAAATTTAGTTAATCTGTATTTTAGAGAAAGAGCTTAGCAAAAGTTTAGCCACCGGGCAGGTCTCCTCCTCGGCCTCCTCGTAGTTATTGCTAGGCGCGTTCGCTCACCACATACGGGAGCTCTACCACTGAAGTACCAGGGCAACGACTAATGCTTTCTCTTTTTCCTTTTTAGATCGTTTAACACCCACCTAAGCCTTTAAATGCTCTAGGTGAATCGTCCTTACAATAATAGTTCTTGTATTCGATCCAGTACGAGTAACTAAGAAGAGTATTCCTTTGAATAATTGGACTACATACATACATATAAGGGTTTTTAAAATTAATTTCTGGATTTTAAAAACCCCTAGATGTAGTACAGTACCAAAGCTACAACTCGTTGCAATGCCCTTGGAAAGGAAAAATTTTAGGAAAAATTTTTATTTTTTAAAATTTAAGTTTATTTCCTCAATAGTTTGAAATAGCTTTATTATATATTTATTATTACAAGTTTAACACATTAATTTTTACTTATACATATCGAAATTATTGGGAGCAGGCCAACCTACCGACGAGGCTATAACTTCTTTCAGAATTGTCGAATCAGGGAAGCCTTGGTATGGTTCGATACGCCTCGACGAGCTGAATCCAACCATACCAAGTTGTCTCAGATTCGACAATTTTGAATGAAGTTATAGCCTCGGCGGTAGGTTGGGCTCGCGGTAGGTTGGGGTGTACCCGCAATTATTATACATATGTACTTTGAAAAATATTTTTTCTTATAATATTCATATACAAATATTCCAAAAACTTCAAAAACCTCCATAAGAAATATGCTTTTCAATTTCACATCATTAGTTCCACGACGCATGTAGAAGAAGCCGCCCATTCCCCATTTGGGACCCCATGAATTTCTTATAATCCAAAAAGGTATTTTCTTCCCACCACATGTAGCAGTCCCATATCCGGTAATAACAACAGCATGCCCTCCGAGCTCTTTACCCTTTACATTCTGAACGAAAAATAATTTAATGTATAGTGAATAAATAAAAATACATAGTAAACTCCGTCCTTGTAAGCGTTAAAATCTTCATAAACGTAAAAGCCAGCAGATACAGGTCCGAATTTTTTGAGTTGCTCTTTAATATTAGCTTCTCCTCCCTTAGTGCTGACTGATTTCACTGGAAATTGAGGAAATTAAATTAATTTTCTCAATAATTTTTAACGTGCCATGGTGTTTTCTATCATTAGGATAAGTTATTTTCCATTTTGAGTTAGTGCAATTTTTTGAGCAACCTTTCAGTTTTGGATCATTGTTAAATGGAGCAAAAGGATATGGCTTGCAACCGCTCTTGCGAGGGAAGTCAGTTCCTGTACATATTCCGTTTTTTTCTACCCATTTCCATGCATCTTCCACCACCCCTCCGTTACACCCATCTGGCTGTGAACATGAGAGTCGAAACCGAACCGAAAAATTGTCGGTTTACCAAATTCTTTGGATAACCGGATTGGATTTACCAAATTCTTTGGATTTACCAAATTCTTTGGATAATCTTTGGATAACCGAGTTGTCGGTTTACCAAATTCTTTGGATAACCGAAACCGAACCGAAAAATCGTCAGCAATAAAGCGATATATGTGGATTAGGAAGTGGAGTATTATAGAGCCAATTTAGGTATTTTTCTTGGTTAATTACCGAAGGAATAAAAATGAGCATTTTACAGGGTATTTTGAGTGATTTTGACAACATTGTTTTTTCATGCGACCCTATCTCGAAGCTGAAATTTTTCACAGATATGAGACCATGTGTAGTTTGTAGCAAATTTTATGGGCTTTCTAATGAGCCTAAAAAGAATTTTTAATACAGGCCTTAGGGAGCTAAAATATTTTTTGAAGTACTGTAACCTCATTTCCCGTTGATTTTTTAGATTTTAGATCTCAATGAATTAAGCGAGTACAGACTTCGTTTTTTCTCTTTTTCTATTCATTATCAACGGAAATATTTATAAAAAAATTTTGTAATTTTTTCGTCTTGTTTTGGAACCAAAAAAATTTTTTTCCTACAAGCGGCATAAACTTTTGCTCCCTTAAAATGTGAGGTAAATAAGTTAAACGTGTATAACTTTTAAATAACATGAGTATTCAAAAAAATTTTTATGGATATTATAAACTGATGAACTATACTTAATTAAAATATAATCGATTTAATTTAAGTCCTTTTTCTTTCTGAGATATATAGACTTTTCTGCGTGCGAGGTGTAGCGGCATAAACTTTTGCACCTTACTGTAGTTAAACAAATAAAATAGAAAAATATTTTTTGTAAAATTTATTTCCAATGAATAATCAGAAGGAAGTAAAATTTTTAATGTACATTTTCTATAATTTACTACAATTTTTATAAAATTTTCTAACCAAAATTAAATAAGAAGAATCCTTTTTACAGGCAGAATTTATTATTACAAAAATTGTAAAAATAGTATGTATTGAAACCGAGAAAATGTGGCGCTAAAGTTGTAAACCAGTGTATATCAGAGATGGATCCATTTCTGCGTTCCGCTTTTATTTTACCCGTCCACCCAGGCCCGTAGTAAGGGTGAGGGGGACATCGGAAATCATTGGAAATCGGAAGGAAAAAACCTTTGGAAGTTCCAACAAATTTGAAAGTTGTTCCACCGCGAAAGTTAATCAGCGAAAAAGAATATTGGCGGTAGGTTTGGTTGTACCCCCTTCCGCTTTTTAAAATTGAAAATTATCCATCTCTGGCGTATATCTTCAATCCCTAATCTTTAAGTAAATTCTTTTATTTTATTTTAGAATAATACTTCAAATCTGCTTCAATAATTATTTAAAATTTAAATTTTTATAGTTAATTTTATTTATATTTCTAAAGGGAATTTCTAAATTTTATCCCCAGACAGTTAATAAAATTTAAATTTTTATAAGTCCAAATGTAGCTTTTAATTTTTAAACAGTAAGTAAAAATGTGACAATTTTTTTATTAACTAAAGCATCTAAATCACTATTTACGACTGTACTTTTTAATAAAATTTAAATTAAATTTGTTCAAATATTTAAAAAAAATTTATACTCCCAGACACAGACACGGATATTAAGTACATAAAATAGCCTATAAAATTGCCCATAAAATAGCATTTCTGAATAAATTTTAAATAAATTTTGCCCTTCTAAAACTCTCAAAAAATGTCTCATTTTTATTTAAAATTTTTATTTCCCTTAATTTTATTAAATTTATCCCTATTACTCATAAAAAGCGACTTGTGTAAATTTCCTAAAGCAAAGGGGAACCAAACTGTTGATGAGACTATACCCCTAAATAAAGATAAAGATTTTGGGTTTATTCGTCTGATAGCTTCTCCAAAGTTGGGAAGCTGTACAATTGACTTTAGTAAGAAAATGTCGCCTATATTATTGTTATCTAATGGGGTGACTGTTAGTAATTTAATTATTGGAACTGAATCTTCTTCGGGCATTTGGTGTAGTGGAAGCTGTACTTTGAAGAATGTTTAGTTAGTTTTATTTTTGTAAATACTACAGTAATTATTGCCATTTATAATGAATAACACAATTTGTTGGTATTAGAGTTGGACCCGTAGGGTTTTAAAGCCAGAAATTTTAATATTTATTGCCAAAAATTAACCGCTTTTATGAAATTTTAAAAATCATAATTTTTTTTATAAATAAGCTATTTTTTAAATAATTCTCCCAAAATAAAGCCGGACCAAAACTCAAAACCAAAAACTGTTTTTTAAATTTGGATTACTCTAAAACCGTGGATACCGGCTAGTAACCAGTTAAGTCTCCAAAATTTAATGGAAGGCTAATTACCTTAAAACTACAATGGTCTATTCTAGGGTTGTTCACAGTCGGTTAACCTAACCGAAACTCGGTGTTTCTGGCCAATAAACCGAAAACAGGGTACCGGTTAATAACCGGTAATTTTAAATAAAATTTTAAATAATAACCCTAGTCTATTCAAAGTAAGCTAAATATCTATCCTTATCAAAGCCTATGCCCAAAGATATTCAACCCCTACCTAAAAGATTTACCGTTTAAATATACAGTTTTGAACGTGTCTGTACCCACGCCGCAGCTTTTAATGCAACAACAGACTTTACAAAAACTGATAGACGTTCATTTACTTATACAGTTGAGGGAGGTGCTGGACTCCATGCTTTAGATAAAATGTTTGTACAGTCTGGCCCCGGCAAAACAATAATTAATAATTTTTGTGGGGATGGATTTCAAAAAGTTTGGCGGTCGTGTGGCACGTGTAATGATGAAGTGAGTCAAAATTCTAAACAAAGAACTGTTACTATAACAAATTCGAATTTTACTGGCAAAGGACATGTAATTGCATGTAAGTCAAATAATTTTTTATATATTAAATTACTAAAATAGTAGTGGTAATTTATTGGTAGATAGTTGTTAAGGAGGGGATTAGGATTGTTGTTGGCAACTTCCATTCCATCGGTTTTCGGTTCCAGTTACACTGGTTCCGGTTAATTCGCCAAAAACACTGGTTAGCGGTTCCGGTTCTGTTAATTGTCCGCCTAGAGCCCTAGTATAAATTCTGAAATTAATGTACAATCAAAGCATCCCAGTTGTTCGAGCATCTGATTATACAGTGAGGAGTTAGCAATAAACACCAAAAAGTTTACTTTGTAAATGTAAGAAAAGGATGACCAAGCATTGTAATTAGAACGTTTAGGTGTGGGCCAGGGCAGCTTGGTAACAGATACAGATACCATACCGGATATTTACGGCGGATACAGGCGGATATCCGCAGGAATTCTGATATTATTTGTATCCACATCCGTATCCATGCACAGGTCTGATGGATACAGTTAAGTTCAAAATGCCTGCGGATATCCGTCTGTATCCACCGTAAATATCCGGATACGGATTCGAAAATCCATGTCCATTACCAAGTCTGAGCCAGGGATCTAGCCGACATAAAAATTTAATTTCCGATTTTCGGGAATAGGGATTCCCGACCCAAAAAACGTCCCTGGTGTGGGCATAGGAAATTGAAAAAGTGTCTGAATCGGTAGAGCACCTGTATATGAGGGGAGTGAAAGTCGCAGAAAGTCGCAGTTTCGATTCCTGCTCTGTGACTAAATTTATTTACCTAACTTGTATTTCTAATAAATTAAAGAATAACATTTTTTAAGCCGGGAATGCCCCTTATAATGACAAAGTTTCCTTCAATAATGTCAAAATATTTGGTTATAAAAATCGTTCAACAAGAGTTGTCTATGCCTGTGGAGAAGTTAAACCAGAAGTAAGTGAAGATCATTTAGATACAGGAGCTTCAAATTGGTATATACCTGGGCGTGCTGGTACTGGAACTGTTTGTAATTATCCAGCTTCGGCAGTCAAAATTGTTAATTAACTGAAAGCTTTATATTTAGAATATAGTAATGTTATTTATTGTGAATAGTTTTATAATTAAACATTTGATAAATTTAAAAAGCTTTGTGTCTAGAGATCGGCCCGGGTGTGGACCAAGGCCTGGGTTTTTCCTGTACCTAGTCCAGGCCCGGGCATTTTTTGACCTTCCTGGGGTTTTCCTGGGCTTGGGTTTTTCCTGAACTACAGACCCAGTGTCCGGTCCAGGTCAATAAATCAAACCCAAAGCCCAAGGACAGGCCCAGCCTTTTCAAAAATACCGATCTCTACTTGTGACTTTACGCTGGTTGAAGTTTCACATAAATTGTGAATATACGATATTACTAACAGGAACTTTAAATTTATCTAATATTATATTTTTTTCTATTTTTCTTACTTCAGTTTTTTACTTCCTATTTGTTTTACGGATTTCTTTCCTGAGTGGTTCTTGATTTGCCCTGTTAAAAAATCGGCCTGGGTCTAAACCATGGTCTGGATTCTGAATGAAATGACTTTTGAATATATGATACTTTTAAATTCCACAACTAACCAGTCAATCAAAGCTGACTGGCTAACTCTCAAAAACCCTCTAATATTTCTCAATTAATTATTAAATCTAGGAAAATTTTAAACAAATTTTTATTTTTATTGAATCGGCGATTTGAAGAAATATAAAAATTGTTGGATGAGGCACACAAAATTAAAGATAAGAACGTGTATATGTATACGTGTTTTATACAAAAAAGAAATTTTATTTCTTCCCTAACCCAAACACAGCCCTTAAAAATAATTTTAATTATCGTAATTATAATATTTATTCCTCCTAAACTTCAGTTGATTTTTCATTGCTTCTTTTTATAGTCCTCAAAGTCTTAAAAAAAGAAATTATTAAAATTAAAATGGTTGTGCCCTAATTGTTAGTATCTGAGGTCAACACCCACTTTTGTGTATTTTATTTTAGAAATTATTTGAGGTGTATTTTATGGCCACCCTACAATTGTCTAAAGTAGGGTAGAAACCCAACTCTTCAGGGGCGGGTGTGTCGGGTATGTCGGGGTTCGGAGGGGTTGAGTCGGGGTTGACTTTTGGGCCGGTTTCGGGGGCCGGGTTGCCACCCTAATCTAAAGCTTGATATTTAGGATATAATTGTGTTGTTTTTTGCAAATGGGAGTTATGGAATCAGCTACTAAATACCGTATTTACTCTAATAATCCCCCAGTCCTTTATTAATTCCCCAGTGGGTTGAAACAATAATCCCCCTGGGGGATTACTAGAGAAAATAGGGTATCTTAATTTAACGTTAACGAGGTGTGACCACTGATCGAAGAGCTTTTAGTTTAAAAAATTTTTTGAATTTTAATTTTAAAGTTTTTTAAAGCCCAAAGCACTTAAATTAAGGTTAGCATAAATTATTATAAAGCTAAAATATTAAAATTTCAAAAGCAAACATAAAAAATCCAAAGCAAATCATTTTTATTAAAATATTTTTTGTATATTTAATGAGGGCAATTGGACAACAAAAAATAAAATAAATATACAAATTTAAAGGTCCATATGAGGGAAACGAAAATATTTTATTTAGGGTAAAATTAAATGAAATTATTTAAATATTAGGAGAAGAAAGCACATTTATAAATGTGGATATATATTTTTAAAACAAAAAAAAATATTTTTTTTTGTTTAAAAAATTAAGGGAAAAAAATGAAAAGTCGATTAATGTCAAATATATATTTAATTTAGAATGTATTATTTGACATAAAAAAGGGATAATGAGGAAAAAATAGAGAAAGGAATGAATCTTTAATCAGAATTTTTGGGATTCAAAATTCATATTTTAAAATTTGAAGCCTATCTCAATTTTAAGGGTTGAAAGAATGGATTTTCATTACTTTGCAGAGAAATAATATTGTAAAGGTTCAGGACTAGAGACCTTCTGGTGATCTTAATCTCAATTTATAAGGGTTTTGAAAAGTTTACCCTGCTAGAAATGACTTCCAAAAAATTTCATTTTTGGTTACAGATTTTCTTAAAAAATAATTTTTTACTAGAGACCGGGCCGAGACGAGATCTCGATCAAAAATCTCGGTTAACGAGATAAAAAATTTTTCGTAACCGCGATTCTCGTACGACACTCCCAGTCCGGTTTCTACTCAGGACTAATGGCCTATCTTTAAGGATTAACCTTGTGGTGATCTTAATGTCAATTTATAGGGGTTTTGGGTAGTTTATCCTGATAAAAACGACTTCCAAAAAAAATTTCATTTTTGGTTACAGATTTTGTTAAAAAATAATTTTTTGGAAAAACTCTTTAAAATTAGAAGGAACACCAAATTAGTCTCCAGCTTATTATTATTTTAGTTAGCAAAAAAATATAGCCAGTTAAAATAAAAATTAAAGATTGATTAATAAAGCATTAATATTGTTAAATTTAAGCACCGCAACCAAATTATCTTTAAAAAAAATATTTTTCCTTTCCCTTTTTTAAAACTAAAATTAACAATTAAATTTTAGGGTTTGTCAAAAGCTTTAAAAAATTAAATTTTTTTAAAGCTTCTTTTTCATCATTTTACCGCTATGCATTTCCATTCGCCGTGCTACAAATTTCAAAATTTCATCTAGCAAAATAACTGGTATAGAGAATTTTAATACGGCCATCCATTCAACAAAATTGAGAGGAGTTATTTGGAAAATTGTTGCCATAATGTCAACATAGAGAATAAGGAAGTGAAGAGACATAGACAAAGCTATAGCTGCACAAAGCCAGATATTTGTCCAAGGAGGCATTTTAAGAATTGATTGATTTTCTGAGAGACTGAAAAAAATATAATTTATTTAAATATTAATTTTTAATTTAAAATTTTTAATTTAAAAATTTATAATTAGGGCGGGGAAAAACATGCAAATGCATGTTTTGCATGCGGATATGCCATGATGAGAGAAGCGCAAAAATGGTTTTTTTTACAATGGTCCGAGCACTTTAGGACACGGTTCCTAATGCATATTTTTGCATATTTCGGCCCTTTCGTGCATATTTGCATATCGGTGCATATTTTGGGGAATTTTGCATATTTTTACTAAAATTTGAGCATATTTTGCCATTTTTTGCTAAATTTTATAGAAATTGGTCAAAGTTTGAAAATTTTTGGAATTTTTTTTTGTCAAAAAAATTTTATAAAAATTTTTTGAAAAAATTTTTTCTAAAAATTTTTTTAGAAATTTAAAACCGATAAAAGCTTCCTCTTTCGCTTTTAATCCCTGTTAAAGAGATTTCCCGAGAATTTCCGAGATAGAGCAGGCTGTGCCAGCTTCCCCTTTCGTCTTTCGCTTTTTAAAATCACTTTCGACACTCCGCTGTTATAGAGATTTTTCGAGATATCGATTTAAATGAATTCTCAAATCCGGCCTTTATTATGAACAGAGTTCGAATTATTAAGTATTTGGGCTAGTAAATATTTGGACTAGTAAAAAGTTTTCAAGTGTGATTTCTGGGGGTAAGAATAAAAACAAGAAACCGAATAAATGCGAACGATTCTAATTTTAAACAGGATTTTCAAAAAATGAAAAACAAAAAACTCGGCCATATTTAAATCCCCCTCTCTTCCTCACCTATTCACAGCATTCAACATTTCAATTGTCACCAAAACAGAAAGTGCCATAGCATTAGGATGATTATCCATAAACACAGAACAGTCAAGGTCATCAAAGTTTTCAGGTTCAATATCACAACGCATCCAATGTGTTAATTGATAATAACTTACTTGAGGGCCATCCTCGTAAATTACTTTAAAACAAAATTATTTTTAAATTTATTTTAAAAAACTTACAGAACCACCACATTGATGCAGCAACTGTGGCACATCCAACATAAGCTAAATTTAAATAAATTTTAAAAATTTTTAAAAGAAATATACTTCCAATAGCCATATAACGGAAGAAAAGCCATTTAGAAATTAAAGATTCAGAGGCTGAACGTGGCTGGCGATCCATAATATCCAAATCGGGAGGATTAAAGCCTAATGCGGTTGCTGGCAAACCATCAGTTACTAAGTTGACCCAAAGAAGTTGTACTGGGATTAAAGCCTCAGGAATTCCTTTGAAAATATTTAAAAATTAATTAAGAAAAATGGAAAAGGTAAAAATTTAAAAAAAAAGTAGGGGAAGATTGAACCAATACTTGAGACATTTACATGAACTTTTTTTCAAAATTAACCCAAATATGATCAGCCAAAATTGCAAAACATCTAGTGTGTGCGAATAAGCTATTGCAAAAAGACCATATTTTTTACTCTAGCGCGAGAGAATGAATCGAACAGTATGCAAATTTTTGTTCCCTATATACTTTAAATCAAAGTCAGACTACCTAATAAAAGGACCAAATATTTATCACCTCTACTATAAGAAATAGGATTGGAGGCCCAGTCCGAAAGATCGAGTCGAGCATTGAATTCTAGCCTAAAAAACTCGGTCGGGCCGGTCAATAAAAATCAGGCCCAAAAATGACTTAAACGTCGGCCCGACCCAAATTAGAAGCAAGAAACCTAATTTCCAAATCAAAATCCAAAAATTTCTTTAAAAATAAATTTTAAAAAATACCAAGTGCAGCAACCAAGAAAATTGAAACAACTTCACCAATATTTGAAGAAATTAAATATCTAATAAATTGTTTCATGTTGTTATAAATTGCACGGCCTTCCTCAACAGCAGCTACTATTGTAGCAAAATTATCATCAGCCAAAACCATTTCAGCCGCACTTTTAGCTACAGCAGTACCGGAACCCATTGCAATACCAATTTCTGCTTTCTTAAGTGCTGGCGCATCGTTAACACCATCACCAGTCATTGCCGTTATTTCACCATGAGATTGGAGATATTCAACAATCTGAACAAAAAATAATTTTAAAAAATGATTAGAAAAATTCAGCCTTTCTTAGAAACTTTGTTTAAAAATTGCAAAGCTACTACTAAATATTTTTTACAAAAACTGGTAAATAAAGATTGAAATGTTGTCGAATGTACCGATAAGGGATATCAATAAACACGGTCGGTAATACGGACCGTTCGATTAGTATTGGTGGTTCCGGTTATCCAGAAACGAAGGCTCGAATCCGAGATGACAAAGATTTCGTTTGTGTACAAAAATAAATGCCTATAGGTAGGAAGGAAAAGAAAAGAAGCGGAAGAAAATTCATATTCTCCTTAAAGCTAAAAAAGAAGAGGGAACACAAAACGAAAAATTTTCGTGCATCTCTGGTTCGAATTTCGTTTCGGATATCCGGAAATTTCCCAAAACCGCCAACTTTTAACACAATTAATCCCCTCGAATTATAAACAAAATTAAAAACCTTAGATTTATGTGCAGGCTCTACACGAGCAAAAAGTTTGGCTCTTTTACATGCTTGACTTTGCTGTTCTGGCGAGAGATCATCAAATTCTCTTCCAGTATAAGACAATCCTGTAGTGTCTTCATTTTCTCCAAAAAGACCAATTCTACGTCCAATAGCTTCTGCAGTGTTTTTATTGTCTCCAGTTATCATAATAACACGAATCCCAGCATGAAAACATTCACGAATTGAAAGAGCAACTTCTTGACGTGGAGGGTCTAACATTCCAACAACACCAACAAAAGTTATGTTACGTTCATATTCACCAAATTTAGTAGAGTCCTCCAAGTTCATACTGGAAAAAAGAGAAAATTGATTTTAAAGTGAATGGAAATATTTTCTTAATTTATAAAATTCCTGAATATGGATCGGCTGTTTGCCCCCTTTTTCGGAAAAAATTCCGTCAGCAATTTCAGTACTGCTGTGAATGGATTTTACATAGGGTTGCTGGCTACCGGCTAATTTTTTGACTGTGTAGTTCAAACACCCTTACTATCATTCATCATTTGAGCCAAAAAGCCAATTAGGGAATCGAAAATAAAATTGGGAGAAAAACTAATCAAAAAATAAAGACATTCCTAGGTAGATAAATAAAATAGGTATATAAAAATTATACGCATTCGGTGTTGGCGGTTCATCAACTGTTCCAAGAGCCAAACAACGTAAAGTATCTTGCCCAGTTCCATATTTAACACAATGTTGAACAATTTTTTGAGTCATTGCAGGGGTAAGTGGAACTTTTTGGTCACCAATTCGAACATGAGTACAACGGGAAAGAACACCTTCTGGAGCACCCTGGCAAGAAAAATTGTTTAAAAAATCCAAAAAATTCAAAAAACCTTAACAAACATCCGAGCACCAGAATTAGAAACTGTTGGAACACAAAAGACAGACATTGACTTTCTGTCACGAGAAAATTCCAAAGTAAATTCTTTTTGCCATTTTTGTTGAATTACTCGATTGCAAACATTTCCAATGTCCCGAGGTGAAAGTCCGCCTTTCGGTGTATCATAAACATTCATTTTTTCAACAAGAACGACTAAAGCTGTTTCGGTTGCCTCTCCAACTTTTTCGTAAGCATGTTTAGTCTATAAAATTTATAAAAAAAATTTTGAATGGAAGGGAGCAAGGGCGCAGCCAGGGGGGCTTCTGAGGCTATAGTCTTCCCCCCCCCCCTTCTAAAATTAAGAAAGTGAAAAAACTTTAGGAGGGAAATAATCGAAAAAGTGAATCAACTACCCCTCCCTTTGAATGAAATAACTAGAAAAAACCTCATTATAATCAACAGAAGAATCATTACACATTGAGCAAATTGTTGCCAATTCAGTTAAAGCTTTGTGATCATCAGAGGCACAATTAATTTGAATGCCACTATGGAGAATTTGACCTTGAGGCTCGTAAGTAGAACCAGTTATTGAATATTCACTGGAAATTTTTTTGAAAATTAAATGCTAAATAAATTGAAAATTCTTCTTAAAAAATACAAGACTAATTTACACGAAATTTGGAATCGATGGTGTAAAAATACAACTCTTCAACAAGGAGAACTAAACAAAATTTGTTCAAGTTTTCCCATTCCTATTCCAAGTCAGACAATGGAAATTAAAAGAACCTCGACCCATTAACTTATAAAGTTGCGCAGCAGTGATAGCGCCAACAAAAAATCAAATTCCCGATTTTCGTAAATCAGGAATTCACGAGCCAAAAATCGTCAGGAATTCTCAATTTTTGGGAATCATGAATCGGGTCGGCGCGATCCTTGACGCCCAGAACATGCGAAGTACTTTGAATTCCTTTCACTTTTAATGTTATACTCTCAAACACACACCATGGATGTTTAGACAACCCCCATAAAACTTTCAAAGCGAACCTGAAGCTAATTTGATCTCCACGCGCTCCCTCCACAATAAACATTTTTGACACCGACATTTGATTTGTTGTCAAAGTTCCAGTTTTATCAGAACAAATAACCGATGTGCAACCCAAAGTTTCGACTGAAGGAAGTGAACGAACAATTGCATTCTTTTTAGCCATTCTACGAGTTCCTAAAGCTAGACAGGTTGTAATTACTGCTGGAAGGCCTTCAGGGATAGCTGCAACGGCAAGGGCAACAGCAATTTTGAAGTAATAAATTGCTCCTTTTAACCAAGAACCACCATGTGCTGGGTCATTGAAATGTCCAATATTGATAGCCCAGACAGCAATACAAATTATTGAAATAACCTTTAAATTGAAAGTTTTTTGAATATAATTAAACGACAAAGAAATGTTTAAAGGAAATATCAAGTATAGACTTAAATTAATCAGAAAAACCCCACAAAATAGTTTAAATAAAAAATTAGGAAAAAATTATTTAATGTTAGAATCCAACAGGAAAAGATAAGTCAAGTTTCCGTTCATGCCTCTAACTACAAAAAATTAAAATGTTAAACGTAAATTGAAAATTATAGTCAGATTTTTTGCTTTTATTTGTTAAAAAAATTAAGCAAATTTCAAGGCGCATCAAGTGGAGCTAGTGGCCTGCAATCAAAGTGGAGCTAGTGGGAAAACCTGCAATCGACCCAATTATTAAGTCCTAGTCAAATATAGAGGAGAAAAAACATCTTTCCCCCCTTATATCCCAATAAAATTTAAGGGCAAACCTTAGAAAGTTGTTCCCCAAACTCATCCAACTTTTGCTGTAAAGGAGTCTTATCAGATTCCGTTTCAGTTATTTCTGTCCTGATTTTTCCAATTTCTGTATTTAAACCAGTTCCAAAAACAATTCCACGAGCTTTACCAGAAGCAACGTTTGTACCCTAAAATTGAATTTTTTTTCCTTGAAAATTTAAAAAATTCAAACCGAAAAAAGGCAATTTTTCTTGTCCTGATTTACAGCCCTCGGATCAGGCACAGTGTCCAAATTTTTAATAACAGAAACAGATTCTCCAGTAAGAATAGATTGGTCAATTCTGATTGTTGTAGAATAAATTTTGACGAGGCGAAGGTCTGCTGGGATTTTGTCACCAACTAGAAAAAAATTTTTTGAGAAGACTTTAAGAAGCGCTAGGCTTTTAATTAAAAATTAAAAAAAAATTTAAAACCTGAAACTTCAACAACATCCCCTGGAACAAGTTCTTTAGCTCGAATCATTTGAATTCCATGCTTTCCAGAACGTATTACTTTAGCCATTTCGGGTTCATATTCTTTAAGTGCTTCAATTGCACTTTCAGCATTCCTTTCCTTAAAAAATAAAATTGTAAAAAATATAAATGAAGAAATTCTAAAGAATATTACTTAAGAAAAAAGACTCGAAAATTCAAAAATTAAATCTTAAAAAGAAAATGGGAAGAAAATAAAAATAAACCGAAATTGGAAAAAATTTCAAACTTAAAAATTCCAAACTTGAGATTAAGTCTACAAGTAGGAATTATTGAAAGAAGGAATAGGAATCTAAAAAATTTCGGTTTGAACACCCAAACAAATAGAGTTTAGCCTGGATCCAGAACATCCTGATCCAGGCCAAAATCAAATCTTGGATCCAAAGTCGAGAGCAGGGCATTTTTCAGGCTCCCAGATTCTTCCTTGACTCGAGGACAAGAATCTGGTCAGAATCCCCACTTAAAGGTTCTAACCATATCAAAGGCTTATTAAAATCCCCAATCTCAACTAATAAACAAAAAACAAAAAATTAACCTGCCAAACCCCAACAGTTGCATTTGCAATCAAAATGAGCAAAATAACAAAAGGTTCCACAAAAGCCGTAACAGCACTCGTTTGGTCATCATGTTCTTCAAATAAAGCGAGGACCTGAATTTTTAAATATTTTCCGTGAAAAAATAACAAAAACATACAAATGAAATTATTGCGGCGAGTAAAAGAATTTTAACAAGGAGATCATCAAATTGTTCAAGAATTAGCTCCCAGAGCTTTTTTCCCTCCTCTGCTGGCATTTCTGAAAATAAAGAATTTTTAAAGTAAAAAAATATCAGAGTTGAAAAAGGAATGGGGAACTTAACTTGAACTCAAAAAAAATATTTTAGGAAACCGACGGGAGGAGAGGGGTCACAGAAGGGAATGGTATTTCATGTTAACAAGGCCTTATAAGGCTGCTAAATTTATTTCATATTCAACCCTCTTCCATATCCACTAAAAATATCAGAGTTGAAAAAGAATGGGAACTTAACTTGAACTCAAAATATTTCGGAAAACCAAAGGGGGAGCGGGGGGGGGGCAGAGGGTTGCAGATTGTGACTGCAGGAATTTTTTCGGTAATATTGAACCTGACAGAACCCATTTTTTCCTCCCCAAGTTTTCCTATATAATTGCAGAATGTCCAGACTTCTTCCCCATCCCAATTTTCCTTTCCATCCAAAGGGGAATAAAAATTAATTTCTTTTGATTGTCTATAGAAACCAATTGGAATGAAAGAAAGGAAAAAGTCTGACCATTTTGTAGATATATAGGAAAAAATTGGAGAGGAAAAAAGAGGTCTGTCAGGTTCAATATTACCATTTTTTCAATTGCAGCCACAACTGGTTTACAAAATTTAAAATGAAGTTAAAAACCCAAAATAATCCAAAATCCCCTCCTTAACGAAAAAATCAAACCATTATATCCATATTTATCCCTCAACTCCTCCACTTGATTTTCAGAAAGTCCATCAGGTCCAGTGCCAAAAAATTGAAACAATTCTTCCGAAGTCTTGGCATGAGCGTTCTCCATTCGCTAGCTAATTTTAAATAAAACCAATTAAATAAATGTGTCTTTTGTTGTTTTCTAATAGGAAAATTAATTAAAATATATTTGGAATAAACTGAAAAAATAAAAGAAAATTTTAAGAAAAAATCAGTTTTTGGAAAGAAAAAAATTTTTTAAATTAGGGCGACAACGAATATTAACTTAAATAGAGGCACATAAAAGAGACCAGTCGGAATTCAGGATTTCCGACTTTTGAGCCGCTTTCGGTCTCCGGGGCTGTGCGCCATAGCGCAGTTTCTTGACTCCCAAATTTATTAGGGAGTCAAGTTGTCGCCTAAAAAAAATTTGTGACTGATCAAGGCTGTGCGCCATGGCGTTTTGGCGTGTTTTAAAAATTAATTTTTGGCGTTTGGCGAGCCACGCGAAAATTTTGGCGCACAGCAATGTCTCTGACCTACCCTTAATGAGATAAAAAAAATTTTTAGGAAAATTTTTTTTCTAGAATTTCGCTATCGGAAAAATATGTGTGGAATTTAAAAACTAACTTAACAAAAAAATTGTTTGGACAGACGAGGGCTATTTTTCCATTGAATTTTACTAAACAATAAATTCCCACAATTTTGTATGGAAACTTGAAACTCTTATTTGCAAAAAATTTCAACTAAAAAGTTAGACATAAAAGGAAACATTGCAGAAAATAAATTGAATGTCTCGTCATCATTCTGCTAAAATTTTAGAAAATTAAAAATTTTAAAAAACATCGCTCTGAAATTTTAAAAAAAAAAATATTTAAATTTTAAGGGACTTTTTGGTGCGAGGGAAAATGTTGGGGTTGGGTCGTTTGAGTGCCGAGATTTCGTATAAAAATTAACAGTAACCGAGTATAATTCTTAAAAATGGACACGCCCAAATAGGCGCGCGGCCATAACGGCGCAAAGCCATAACTTGCTGGAAAATTTCTGGCCCTTCTCAATTTTGGTACCAACCTCTTTAGCTCGATGAGAGGAATCGTTTAATATTAAATTTTGAAAGATTCGGTAATCTTGAAGCAAGTTAAGGCTTTGCGCCGTTATGGCCGCGCGCATACTTGGGCTGTACCCTCCTAGAAAGTTTCTCAAGTTTCTTTAATCAAGAAATTTTTTTGAGAATTTTTTATCGAATATTTTTAAACTTAAAATTATCATTTTTAGGTAGATGAACCTTTAATCTATAAAATGCATTTCCAAAAATTCTTAACTTTTTAGTGAGAGTTTAGCTAAAATTGTTTTTACTTTTATGATTCTATCCGATTAATTCACCACAATTAGTTCTCCTATAACTTTTGAATTTATCCCGCTTTTAATAATTTTTGATAAGATTAAAGACAGACTAATTAATAGAGACTTCCTACTCTTGGTCTTGAGTCATGACTCAAGACTTTTCTTGGGGCTTTTCGTAGAGATCGGAACGGGACCCCGGTTTTCGGGCCCCTTTTCCCGGTTTTTTAATTTTCCCGTTCCGGGTCCCTCCCGGTCAACCTTCAGAACCCGTTTCCCAGACCCTGTTTTTTCAAAATTCCGATCTCTAGTTTTTGGTCTTAGGCTTGGTCTGAGGTCTTGAGTTTAGGAAAATTTTCGGTCTTGAAAGTCTCTACTAATTAAATTTTTAAAAAATTCTAAAATTTGGAAAACTCTCAGAAATTTTATTTTTGATTAAGAGAGAAGATAATATTATTCTAATAATATTTCTAAAAAATTAAATTTGGATATCTTCAAAATGCACGCATTTTAGTGTTATTTAAACTGCAAAAAGTTTGTCTAGTCTCTACGCCCTTATTCCACTTGAAAAATAATTTTTAGAAAAATTTTTTTCTAAAAATATAAATCTCATAAATTCTTTAAATAAATAACAAAAAATAAATAAAAATAATTATTTTTGCATTGTTTCTAAAATTTAGCAAAAACCGGAAACTAAATGAGGGAGATTAAATGTATTTATTAGTGATGTTCGAAACTGCGGTCTCGGTTCCCGAGTCGGAAAATTTTCCGGGTTTTTTGAGCTCCCTCCTCGGGGTTGATTTCCGGTCTCGGCTTTTTAACTCCCGAACATCACTAGTATTTATGCAGGTAAAAAATTCGAACCAGTCAATTTTCGCATGAATTTTCTTCAGGAATACCTTAAAATACCCTTTAAGTTGTGATCTAAAATCTTCAAAACTTTCAGAATTTTTATTTATTTCCTTTAATAATTATTAAAAATATCAGATTTTCGAAAGAATTTTTAACATTTCTTGAAATGTTTTCTTGTTAAAATAAAAAATAAAAAAAAGTCCAAGAGATATGCTATTGAAATAGCTGTCTTTATAAATGAGCATAAACATAATAATTTTTTAATCAAAAAGGAAATTAATTAGTAACTAGGGTTGTCGGTTCTGGACCGAACCGAACCGATATCCGAAACGATGATTTTTCGGTTTTGATATCGGTTCGGTTCACGATATCCAAAGATTTTCCAAGAACCGACAATCTTATTAATAACCGAACGTCCAAGCTCTTACATTGTGACTAGTGCATTCAAAATACACTTAAAAACCTAGGACCTCTAGTATTGTAAGATTTATCTCGATTAGTGCTAGGATACAGGCATCCTGATTCAATAAATTTTGAACAAGGTCACACGTACGTAGGCTCGCAGTAAATTCCCCTATCTCTTATTCCGATTTATTAAGAAAATATTTGTAAAATAATTTTAAAAAGTTTTAAAACAGTTAAACCCAAAAAATATTTATTCCTAACAAATATTACTTAAAGTAAAAAGCAGTTGTGCATGATTTAAAATAAAGAAGATCAGTCAATAACATATGTGAATGTTAGTTAAAAGTTTATATCCCTCAAAAACCGCGCTTTTTATATTTATCAAAAAAAAAGGTTTAAAGTTGGAGGGTGAAAAAATGAGAGGAAGAAAATTAAGAAAATGGTGTTTCCGTTTATTATTTACAGTAGAATCTCCCTAACACGACACCCATCGGGGCCCGTACTATTGAAATTAGGGATATGGCAAGGGACGGGATGACAACTGGATTTTCGAGATTTTCAACGAGATTTTCGGGATATCAAAAACAAATTATAAGAAAAATTGGTAATTATCGGTTATACGCCCACAAACTGAGTACCAGCCTAATTTGATCGGTTTTAATTTTTTGATGCTTGATCCAATTCAAATAAATCTTATATCATTCGAAAGCCCTCGATAAACGGTATCTTTTTTCCAACTTAATGGATCAAGTTTGATCATTTGTTAAAAAGTTATAACCCGATAAATGTGAAAAAAACCAAATAACTGGACTTTTGTGTTATAACTTTTAAATGAGTGATCAGACTTGATCTATCCTCTAGAAAAAATACCGCTTATCGAGGGCTTTCGAATGATATAAGATTTATTTGAATAGTATCAAGCTCAAAAAAGTTATAGCCAATGTCGGATGGCACTCAGTTTGTGGGCGTATAACCACAGATGAGTAACTTTGCGGGAATCACAACGGGATTTTCGGGATGTCAAAAACAAATTATAGGAAAAAATTAAACGATTTTTTTATTGCATTGAACAAAAATTTTGTTTAAAAAAATAAAGGAAGAGAAAAATTTAGGAAAAGAAAAGAATTACTTGCTCGAGAAAATCACTTACACTCTCCTCTATTTAATATCCCTTTCTACTTTAAAAGCAAAAGAAAATCGTTAAAAAAATAAAAATGAACAAAAGTGTGTGGTAATCAAAAATCTGCTAAATCCTTTACTAAATGGTTTTTGGGAAAATTATTGAACACAAAATGGAGGAGGGAAATCGAGAAAACTTTGAGAGAATTGCCAAATTGATTTAAGCAAAAATTTAATTTGTAAAGAATTGGGGAATAAATTGAAAAGAGAAGAGATTTTTAGGCAGATTTAATTTTTAGAGTTATCCATTAACGGAAATTTTGAAGGATCCAAGACCAAAAAAATCAGCCTAAATTTTCGGAAGTCGGAAAATTTTTATGTCTCAAAGACAATTTTTGTCCCAAAAATTTTGTCCCAAAAAAATTATTACTGTTAATACTGTTACTTCCCTATCTAACTTATTATTGTCTGAAACCAGAGGTGGGTCGGAAATGACGAAGGTGCCGGAAATCATAAATTGCTAAAAGTCGGAAATCGGAAATCAGCCTAAATTTTCGGAAGTCGGATGGAATCCCGACACACCTGTCTGAAACTATCATCTAGGCTTGTCGGTTTCAAAC